TACCTGGGCGACTACGAGGGCGACATCCCATGGGGGACCTTGCGCGACTGCGCGAAGACGTGCGACTTGAAAGGCGTGCCCGAGCCTTTCTCTTTGAAGAAGGAGCCGCCTGGCCAATGCTCCATGCAGGTGTTCGTCGCCAAGAAGGCCGACGGCAAGCGCGACATCCTGAAAGACGTGAACCTCCTGGGGGTGTCCACCAGGACGGATTCGTGCCTTCAGATGTGTCGTGGCACTGGCTTGATGGCGCTACGGCAACCAGTTTAGGGTTGGGCGCCTGGCCGTGCAGTACATGCTGGAGAAGCTGGAGGGCTACCAGTTGCGCTACCACACCGCGGTCGCGAAACGCGGCAAGGGACCTTCCAGCAAGACGGCCGAGTGGCAGCGTAAACCCGCGGGGTACAGGTTCATGCGCGAGAAGGGGCCTCGCACCAACAATGCGATTCATGGAGTTCGCGGATCGGGAGAGCAGTCGGCCAGATTCCGATATTTTTGGTTGGGAGGAGAGTCGCATCGAGAGAGCCCTGCATAACTGCGCGAAGGGCAGGGCAAACGCCAAGGGCCTCACGATCTGGACCCTGACGCTTCGCGACTTCGAGCCATGGTTCCTCAACGACGCGAGCAAGCCCGTGCTGGCCTCCACTCTCAGGGCCTTCGGCGTGGCGTGGATCGGCAAGACGCGCGTTGGGAAGAGCGCTGGGTCGAAGACGCTGGCTTTCATGATGGGCCGCGTGGAGATCGAGGCGCTGGGGCAGTCTGGAGACGCCGGGGCGGGCGAGCTCGCGCCGACGATCGCGACGGCCAAGCATTTCGACTTCTTCAAGGCAGAGCCCGTCACCCGCGTCAGGCCCGCCATCTTTGACGACGGCGAGCTGTCTGAGCAATCGGCATCCATCCTCAAAGCATTCCTGAGTCCGAGCGAGGAAGACGCTACGATTTGGGCACGGTGGGGTTCGTGCGAGTTCGACACTGGGGCTTCCCGCCAGGTCTGCAACACAGCCTACGACAAGCTCTTCGAGCGCGAGCTCGTCTCCAAGTGGAAGGAGGGCGCGCCGAAGGGCGTGAGCAGCGACGATTTCATGCGGCTGATACGGCCGTCGTTTCGGCAGGTGAAGGAGGACGAGGACTTGCTGGCCGTCGGCTCGCGGACGCATTTTGCATTGGTCACTGACGCGGGGGTGTACTTCCGCCACGCGAGCGAGGAGCAGAGCCGCGTGCCTTGGTGGACTTACACCAGCCCGAAAAGCCAGACCTATTCAACCAGATGCAAGGAGGCGTTCGGCAAGTACAGGAACGACCCGACTAAGCCCGTGTACCCCGCCGACTTCGAGGGCGACGCCAAATGGTCGATGGACTAATTGAAGCGCCTCTTGCAGAACAAAGACGTGCCGCTCGTGCCGACTGTCACGGGCGCGGGCCTCTTGCCCGCTGGTCCTGCTCCGTCCTCGCCGAGAAGGGGCAACGACAAGTGGGGCGCCGACTTGATGAGCGTCGCTGCGTCTTCGTCTAGCGGCCTCCCAGATGCAGTTGACGCCGCCGCCAGGGGGTGCGCGGGCCTGCTCGAGAGCGCGGACAGAGACGCGCAGAAGGCGATCTACGAGACAATCCAGCAGGACTTCTGGCAGAGGAGCGCGAAGGTCAGCGGTGAACTGATGGACTTGATGTCGCCCCCCCCGCAAGCGCGCGGCGACGGGGCCCCAGAACTCACGGGGCGCGGCGGCGATCCCCTTCATGTGGGCGCTGACGAGCAGGAGGCCATCTACGCGGCGATGGAGATGGACTTCTTCGAGAAGCACCAGAGGGACGCTGGCGCGCAGATGGGCCTCGCGACGCCCCCCCGACAGAGCCGCGCCGCGGAGGGCGACGGCCCTGACTTGGATGCCTCGCGCGAAGCCCACCTCGGCCACGAGGGCGACCTCGATCGCAAGCGCGCGGAGGAGGCCCGCGCGCAGGACTAAGAGGACTGGGTGAGCGGGGTGGCGCCAGCGCGCAGCATGGCTCCCACATATTAATTTCTGCTCGGTGGGCGCGCGCCCCTCGATTCACGCGCATGTCGCGCGTTTGCTTTTTTAAGCGGAACTTCAGCTATGTGTGGGAAGGGGAACCCCCCAGCGCACGCGATGCCGCAGCACCTCGAGCCGACTTGGGAAACGTGCTCTTCGTTGTCGTCGTCGCCCAGCGTTGCGTCGCGTCGCCGCTCCCAGGGAAGTTTCGTCGCCGCCGTCGTTGCCATCGTCGTCGTCGTCGCCGCCGCCGTCGCCACCGCCATCGGAATCGTCGCCTTGCCACGTGCGATACCTTCCTGGCAAGGATAGGTATCGCACGCGGCAAAGATAGATGTCGCGCGCGATGGCACCCGTGCGTCCTTGCCTCTGCGGCTCGCCGTTAGCCAGCCATAGCCCAGTAAGCTCCTAGGCGGATGTTCAAGGGGATTGCATCTATATACCGCGTGCCCTCTGGAATCCGCAGCGTTCGGCTCGCAGTCTGAGGGGCCCCCCACTGGCTTTTCCGCGTTCCTCCACATTCCGCGGCATGGCGCGACATGCAGACGCGGCGGCCTACCTCGATGCGTTGGGGGGACTTGGACATGACGAACCGAGATTCTTTCCAGTACGCCGTCTCACACGCGGAGCCCGTAGACCCTGGCAGCCACTTGGGAGACGAGACGGCCCGCGCTTTCTTTTTCTGTCAGCACTTCGGCATGGCTCGCAAGGCGCATTGCTGCGCTGATTGCAGTGAGGCGTACACGCTGAGCGTGAATCATCGCCGCGGCGATGCCGTGCGCTTCAACTGGCGCGGACCTCGCTACGACGGCGGTTGCGATACGTGCAACGGAGACGAGGTGTCGGCGCTGGGGGGCACTATTTTGGCTGGCGCGCCCGCGAGCCTATGGATGAGCAAACTCGACTCGTTCGTGATGTGGCGTTTCGACTGCAACCTTGGCGCGCTCAAGTCCGAACAAAGCGTTGACGCCCACGCAACTGTGGAGCGTTGGATTCAGACTTTCGAAGAGGGCGTCGAGGCGCACATGGCCACGAGGATAGACTCATCTTCCGCGTTCGCCGACCTGCTCGGCAGCGGCCCGCCCGAGCGCCCCGCTGCCGCGAAGTTGCGCCGAAGCTTCGGGCCCGGCGCTCGGCGGGGGGCCAGAAGGGCGCGGGCGGGAGTGAAGAAACGGCCCGCTATGAAGCGCCCCGCTCGGCCCACGCCCCCAGCAGCCCGAGCCAAGAAGGTCATCTTGCAGGTTGACGAGTCATTCTTGAGCAAGGGCATTTTGTCCAAGTTGGCGAAGAACGCAAGGCCGAAGAAAGGCAAGCGGTGGCTCTGGGGCGCCGTCGTCCAGGGCTCGCCGCACCTGTTCTTCTTCAAAGTTTTGAAGTCGGTGGAGGATGCTTACGACGGGAAGCCCAGGGGCAATAAGGAGCTCTTGGACAACTTCACGGAGCTGTCGCCGCCCGCTTGGGTCATCATTGTCTCGGACAAGTGGACGGGGACCATAGCGACCGTGAAGCAGTGCCTTGCTGGCGCCGGCCTCGCCGAGCCGATGCTGCCGCGCGAGGTAGCGAACCGCAGCGCGAGCGAGATCACGAACGAGAGAGGGTTCACTGCCAATTACATAGAGCTTTAATGGTCATCGATCAAGCGATGGATCAGGAAGCGCTGCGGCGGCATGTTGCCCAAGAAGGCCAACAGACAGAAGTGGTCGCGGCTCATTGCCGAGCATAGGTTCCGCACCCACATCAAGGCCGTTGAGCAGGAAGTGATTTTCAGGGCGCTGGTGGCCGCGTTCCAGGTGATGCTATGTCTAGGGCAGGGCGCTTGCCATCCACTGACATACGCACGTTCAAATCATTCGTGCCTTTTTGAAACGGAACTTGAGCTATGTCGGGGAAGAAGAATCCCCGCGCGAACGCCATGCCGCAGCGCCCCGAGCTGATTGCGAAAAGCTCTGCCGATCGTCGCCATCGCCGTTCCGCTTGCTGCTGGCGACGCCGACGCTTCGCTATTCAGCATTCGGTTCCCTCAGCCCCCGGAAAGAAGAAGAAGAAAAAAAGGGCCCGCTGCGGCCCATGCAGTTTTTTCTTTAACGCAGGGGGAGGAGATCTGCTTGACTACCATCGCCCTACGACTACTAAAGATGACTGGGGAGGCTGGAATGGCCTGTCCCCAGTTGCATGGAATGATCCCGAAAAGGGGTCAGGTCATCATCCGAGTAGGCAATCGAGATGTTCAAGTACAATACGGCGATGCAAGACACTCGCTTTATATTGAAGCACTCATAGCCCGAGCGCTGCGTTGCGCTGCGTACAGTGTTGACATTCGTGGCTAGCTTGTCAGCGGGGAGACCTGCGTTGACATTTGGCTATGGGCCGACCAAGAAAGGTACGCTCCAGATGACAACGGCAAGGCGTCTACCTCCAAAGGTACACTTGGCTCTGCAACATCTCATCAGAAACTTCTTTCGCTTCGAGAATGGTCAGATTAGCCAAGAGGATACATAAGCTACCCCCGGTTACTTATGCTGACAGCTGCACATTGGTCCATTACGACAACGACGTGAATCCAGGATTCCATTACTATGAAGCAGAAGGTACTGCACATTCACGGATCATCCAATGCCTGAAGTCTTCTAATCCTCAGGCAGGCTTCGATCAGGACATGTCAAAGTTCGAGGACTTGGCTGATGCGCCGACGCCTGAAGCAGCCGCAAGAGAGGCTTCAGAAGCCGAGCCAGAACATGATGACGGACGGCTGTCTACGATCTACGAGGAATCAGAAGCTGATCTTGAGTCACATACCATGGAGGTATGGTACGCGGAGCTGCGAGAGGAAAAGCAACTGTTGGAGGCAATTCCACTAGAAGACTTCTTTACCGTACCCACACAGATGGTTCCTGATCAGAGTGTGCTGATCACTGTAGTTGATGAACAGCGGGCGCCCTGCCGAAGTGGCTGCAGCGCCCGCGAGTCGCATTGGCCGTGCGGTGCCTCTCGGCCGTGATGCTGCTGTGTGCAGTGCTGTTGTGCTTCGGAGATTGGGTTGACCTCGCTGACCAGTTTCTCACGCAGCCGGTGTGTGCCGTGGCTACTGCCTACTGGCTACTGCCAGTGTGTCGTCTACTGGAAGACATCAGATTCTACAGCCTGAGCGGCGTGGGCGTGGCGTCCGCCCACTGGGGCGCGTGCAAATTCGGCGTCTGCGGCCTCCTGGCCGCCGCGGCGCGCGCCCGCTCCACCGGAAGCTCGGCGCAGCGGCGCGCGGCCTCTTTCGTCGTGGCGACGGCCCTCGCCCTGGCGCTCTCCTTGGCCGCCAGCGTTGCGCTGCTCGTCGGACGCGGTGCCCTCCTGGCCCTCCTGACTCACTGGGGGGCGGCCCTCGACGCGCTGGGCGACTGCCTCGCGGTGGCGCTCTTCTCTGGGCTGATCGGGCCGCCCTCCCTGCAGGTTCTCGCACGCGATGCGTTCTCTACCGTCAACTGCTACACCGACGACCAGCTCCAATCCTTCTACGAGAAGTATTTGGAATACCTGGACAGGGCGCAGGTGAAGTGGCTGCGCTGCGGCTAACTGCGGCGGCTGGCCTCAGCCGGCGACATCATGCAGCGTTGCCAGGAGGTACCGCTCGACCAGGTTCATCGGCAGCAGAGGATTCCCACTTGCACGCGACGGTGAGAAGAAGAGGTTTGTCCTTTCGCACCCGTGGTTGTAAAAGGAGCACCCCGATCCCACTGGCGTCAAGTTGAGGCTGCTCGTGCAGCAGCTCGACATGCTGCATGCCTCCGACGATCACGCCGGTTTCGTGGGCTACATGAGTCTCCCCTAGAACGACGAGCTGCACCCGGAGCTGCAGCGCATCGAGGCCGCGTCGGGGATGCCCAAGCCTGGCTCGCATCCGTCCGTGCGCACAGTTGCGGAGGAGTCCCAGCTCAAGGAGGCGCTCTCCGCCATGGAGCAGATCTATAGCATTTGCAAGAAGCCCGTCTTTGTTCTGCCCATGGATGGCGACGTGGACGCGGGCGGGGAGTAATTGCATTTCCAGAGGCTGGTGTCCTCTGGAGTTATGTCTCTCCATGGGCTTCGGCCCACGACCACTACTACCAGACTGGTCACGGTTCGGTGTGCAAATCAGCTTACAAAATTTGCGAAGCCTTGACCCCAGCGTGGTAACACGCGAGTTGTGAAAATTGCGCTTACGCTGGTTCCATGCGAAGGAGCCTAAGATGAGACTCATCTTAAGCAAAATAGGTCTGGATAGTGCTAGACTCAACCTCATCAGTGGCGTCTGTGACACGTGCCGTGAATGCAGAGCTTGGGGCAAACCTGGACACACAGTTATGCCCTCTACTGTATTACTGGGCAAATTCAATGATGAAGTGGAATGTGATTTGATGTTCTATAAGCAAGAACGCAATATATTTTACATGATCAATCGTTGTATACGATATGCTTCTGGGATGGGAATTCCAAATAAAACTATGACTATTATCCTGGATGCATATCGTCAGTGCTGGATGCAGTTTGGACCAGCTAAGGTACTTTACTCGGATGGAGAAGGTGCCCTTAATAATGACAATTACTGCGAAAGCAGTCCTCAAGGCAACAGACACTGAACTGATGATACGTGCGCGTGGACAGCACGCGACGACGATTGAGGCCAGAAGTGGAATCCTACGTCATCTAGTTCACGTCATGGAGGCCGAACCGAATGGTTAATCCTAGCTATTGTGTTCACCAGACTACTGCACGAAGCCTTGTTCGCTGCCAACGCATTCACCTTTTACAGTGAGGTGTCTCCATACAATGCATTGTTTGGACGGCAACCAGCAATGCTCCCTGACCTTCCTGTTCTTGGACCACGAGCAGCCGACAGAACCATCATATCATTCTCGTGAACAGACAATAAGTGGGGTATGTATTGAAGCGATCACACAGGCCACGGCAGCAGCAAAGACCAATCGTGCTCTACGCACTAAGACGACACTTACAGGTCAGCACTATGATGGCGAAGGAGATCTGGTCGACTACCATCGCCCAGCGACTACTAAAGATGACTGGGGAGGCTGGAATGGCCCGTTCCCAGTTGTAAGGAATGATCCCGGAAAGGGGTCAGGTCATCATCCGAGTAGGCAATCGAGATGTTCAGGTACAATACGGCGATGCAAGACACTCGCTTTATATTGAAGCACTCATAGCCCGAGAGATTGGCTTTGACAGCGCTGCACTACGTACAGTGTTGACACTTGTGGCTTGCATGTCAGCGGGGAGACCTGCGTTGACATGTGGCGATGTGCCGACCAAGAAAGGTTCGCTTCAGATGACAGAGGCAAGTCGTCTATCTCCAAAGGTACACTTGGCTCTGCAATATCTCATCAGAAACTTCGTTCGCTTCGAGAATGTAGTTTCGGTCAAATTAGCCAAGAGGATACATAAGCTACCCCCGGTTACTTATGCTGACAGCTGCACATTGGTCCATTACGACAACGACGTGAATCCAGGATTCCATTACTATGAAGCAGAAGGTACTGCTCTGAATATACATGATATAACTGGATCAGCACATTCACGAATCATCCAATGCCTGAAGTCTACGAATCCTCAGGCAGGCTTCGATCAGGACATGTCAAAATTCGAGGAGTTGGCTGATGCGCCTTTGCCCGAAGCAGCCGCAAGAGAGGCTTCAGATGCCGAGCGAGAACATGATGACGGACGGCTGTCTACGATCTACGAGGAATCAGAAGCTGATCTTGAGTCATATGTCATGGAGGTATGGCACGCGGAGTTGCGAGAGGAAAAGCAATTTTACTTTTGGAGGCAATTCCACTAGAAGACCTCTTTACCGAACCCACACAGATGGTTCCTGATCAGAGTGTGCTGATCACTGTAGCTGATGAACAGCGGGCGCCCTGCCGAAGTGGGGGCGCAGTCGCGGTCCCGGTATCCACGAGACGTACTGCGCCCCCCTGTGCACCATGGTCGAAGACGACAGCTACGGACTCGACTCTGACAAAAACGGTCGATACGTTGAACTGTGCTTTACGACAGAAGTGTGAAAGGTAGTTTTGTCCAAGCAGCAACACATGTCGTTGGACGCCGACTGGGGCGACCACTATGCGAGTATATGTCACTGGCGCTGCAAAGCGAGCTGTGGTCGTCAAGGAGGAAGACGACCTCCTCGCCAAAGCTGACATTCCGGCGAACCCCGAGATAATACCGAAGGCCTTTTTCACTGAGCTCAAGACATGGTTCGACCATAAATGTTTCAAAATGCAGGACATCGCCGAAGCGTCGAACATCAGGATTTCGAACATCATTCGTGAAGAACGAAACGGGCGAGATGGGACGTGCCATCCGACTTCGCTTGGTACTTCGAGGCTTCATGGGCTTTGCAGCTTTCGTCGTAGAAAACATGTTCGGGAACAACCAGAAGGGCAAGCCAGAGGTTACTTGCCAGCACGGCAGCGCGCAATAAGCAGTGGATCGCTGCTTCCCTGGACATCAACATGGCCTTCCTGAAGGGGTTGACCTATCGGGAACTCGCTGAGGCAAGTGGTGAAAAGGAACGCGTCGCGTGCTTTCCCTGGCCGCCTGGTTCGGGAACTGTGCTCCGTACTCTTCCAGGGTTTAAGAACTACGACGGGTCAGAGCACTCTTTGCAGTGCTTGAAACCGGGCACAGGCGCGAAGGACGCCCCGCGGGCTTTCTCATTTAAGCTGAGGAGAACCACCAGAGGATTCAGCCTCCGACCTACGTCTTACGACGAGGAGTTCGAGACGAGCAGCAACCTGCTCACGGCCAAGCATGGCCGGCACCTTTGGTAAGTGTAAATTCAACAAGCACACATACACGAACTGCGCTGTGATATTTACCCAGGATGATGACGGCAATGCCACCTTGGATCAGGATGAATATGTATTAAACAGCTCCGTCCTATACAACCTCCTGAATTGACCGGTGCTGACGCTGACGCTCAAGCGACCAAGATGGTGGCAGATGTGCTCGTCAGTCTCAGAGGTGCGCTGGCATACGCGCTGGTCACCCAGATATGGTTGATGGTATATGTTGTATCTCTACAGCGCGTCTAAGAAGCGACCAATATTCAAGTGCGACGACGGAGCGCGATCACCCGACATTTACAGGCCTGCCCGAAGAAGATCGTCTACCAGGCGATGAACCCCACGGGCGAGGTCGACTCACATAGCGACTCAGGCTATCGACGCCTGAGTGGAGACGCCGACGACGACGTCAAAGGCTATGGCATTCGCGGGGCAATTCTGCTACGACGTGGGAACACGTCATTTGGCAAGCCTGTCGTTCACTTGAGCGATGCGCACTGCAAGTCTCACCGCTTGCAAGTCCGCTCAAGCTATTCAGCAGAGACACTTGCAGCAGCCCAAAATGCGGAGGACTGTTATCCCACGATTGTGACTCTGCACGAGCTCCACGCGGGGGGGCACTCACGCCCACTCCGTTGAAATACATACTTGGGTTGGGTGGCCTGAGCATCAAGGTCACCATGATCATCGATGCTGAGTCTGTCTTTAAGTCCTTGTCAAGCAAAAACTTGAAGAAGCTGACTGAGTGTACCCTTTTCGGGCACATAAGTTGGATACGACAGATGATGGAGCGCGGCATCGCGCACAGCATTCAGTGGCGCGATACCCGCGACATGAGACTGCGGATGGACACGCCAAGGGGAGCATCGACAGAGATATGCTCCTACAAGTCATGGGAGGTATACAGACCTTCAAACATGACCTAAAAAGACACACTCCATATCGGGCGGGCCGGCCAGACAAGGAGTTCTGAGGCCGCCTGAGGAGTACATAATATATGCGAGGCAACCTGCTGGCGGGTCCAACTTCTTTGGGCCTGTTCATTTTCCTGTCTTTATATAGGTTAACTGCTGAACTGTTTCTGTAATGCGGGTGGCGGACGCACGCTTCGTCTCCCTGCCCCCCCGACTCTACAGCGAGCTGGGGGGCGTAAGGAGTGGAACCGAGCGTGCGCCCGCGGCCGCCTTGGCTCAAAGCGGCCGGCCGCCCAGATTCGACTGTGCTTCACCGCGAGGGACACGATCGCTATCGAGACTAAAATTTATTCCCTCTTATTTGAGATTGCATTTCCTCTTGCGTTGGGACTATCGCTATTACGATACAACTCAGCTGGAACTTGGCCTCCCTTCAAACTACATGTACGTGTGTATTGTGTATATATATATATATATATATATATATATATATATGTGCGTGTGTGTGCGTACATATATATATATATATATAAATATATGCATAGAGGAGTACGCCGGGGGGGGGGGGGGGGGGCGGGCCCGTCACCCCCTGCCATGGGCGTCCCCCTGGACCTTTGGGGGGTCGCAGACCCCGTGGGACTGGCCCGGGCCGCTTCCAAATGGCTCGCGACTGGCCACGCGGGCCGTAGAGATGGTCAAAAGAGCCTCAAGAGGCCCCGAATACGCCCAAGAGCAATCCAAGAAGGCCCGAGATTGCTTGAAGATGGCCAGCGAGGGCCCCAAGAGGGCCTTCAAGAGGCAAACATCGGCCCATTCCCCACGCCAAACGTACCTACATTTTCCCTTGTGTCGTCTTCACAGTGCCCCAGACGCCCCCGAGGAGCCCCAGCACAACCCAAAAAAGACCCAAGAGGGACCCAGACGGCCCAAAAGGGTCGGCCTGCGGGGCTCGGGGAACCCCCCGAGACGGCCCAAGAAACGCCAAAGCCGGCCCAGGAGGCTCCCAAGACGGCCTCAGGGAGGCCCAAAAGGGCATCGTTCGAAATCATGTTCCCGGAAGCCTCTCCGGGAACATGAATTCCGGGTTCCGAGGACGCTCAAGAGACCCGCAAGACAGCCTCATGAAGATGGCCGGAGAAGAGGGCCCCAAGAGGGCCTTGAAGAGGCAAACATCGGCCCATTCCCATAGTAAAGCGTACATGTTCAGCATACTCCCTTGTTTCGTCTTCGCAGTGCCCCAGACGCCCCCGAGGAGCCCCAACACAGCCCAAGAGAGACCCAAGAGGGCCCAAGACGGCCCAAAAAGATCGTCCCGTGGGGCTCACAGAACCCCCCAAGACGGCCCAAGAGGCCCAGGAGGCCCCAAGACGCCCTCAGGGAGGCCCAAGAGAGCCTCGTTGGACATGATGTTCCCAGAAGCCTCTCCGGGAACTCCTCCTCCTCCTCCTCCTCCTCCTCCCCCTCCTCCTCCTCCTCCTCCTCCTCCTCCTCCTCCTCCTCCTCCTCCTCCTCCTCCTCCTGTCTGAGCCTGCGCGGCGCCCGAGCCCCGCACGGCCGCCAAAGAGGCGGCCGAACGGGCTCAGTTCCGCCAGGGTCCAGAGACTTACGGCAGGTTCGCGTCGCGTCGACCAGCGGCGACCCCAGCGCGGGCGTTTAGGGTTGAACGCCGCCTGTGGCCCAGAGTGAATTGAACAATTTGGCGTTTTTGAAGGGCCGATCGTCCAAGTTTGAGCGATCCCCGCGGTGTTGGGAACCAACGCCGGGGTCGACACGACGCCAACCCGCCGCAAGAGCGCGCTCGGCCGCCAGATAAGCGCGATCTGGAGTTCATTTAGATGCTGGATGGGCTCATGGCCCAGATGGGAACCCTGGGGGCCCAGGGGCCCAGGGGCGGCAGGTGCCACCGTTCGCGGGGCGCGCTCGTCGGGGCATCTCGTCTGGTTTTCGGGCCGCTCCGGAGATCGGGGTCGGGGAGTCTACAGTCGAAACCGCCAGTGAGGCTCATCGGTTCCCCAAGGGTACCCTTGCATCCCCGCCTCTTCGGTCCTCTTGGGCCCATCCTTCACCTCTTTCCATGGCGAGCCCCGCTCGGAAAGCTTCGGCATGGGCATCCAATCGGCGTCGCCCCAACATACTATGGTATGTGTGCGTCGCACCCCCAGGGGCGACGTTCGCACCGAGAGATCTTGTAGTATATCCGTCGTGGCGGGCGCTTCCTGGCCAAAGCCTTCGGGAAACGATCTACTACACTATGGGTCTACTATAAGTTCAGGTCGGACGCGCGCCTCCAAGGAGGGCATATAGCTTTAGTCCCATCCGAGACCCATGGAGTCCTTTTATCGCGCAGCCATGCTGAGCGTCTTGGCTGCGTGCGTGGCTGGGGCTGGCCGAGGCCAGACCATTCCTTGGGGGGTCCTTCTCGTCAGCGCTCCCTAATGGTAGCACGTGGAGGCGTGGAGGGCTTCTCCGAAGGGTTTAGGCGACCCGTCCTCCTCCCTCCTCCGCCTCCTCCTCCGCCTCCTCCTCCGCCTCCTCCTCCGCCTCCTCCTCCTCTTTCTCCCCCTCCTCCTCCTCCTCCTCCACCTCCTCCTCCACCTCCTTCTCCTCCTCCTCCTCCACCTCCTTCCGCCCCCCCCCCTCCTCCACCTCCTCCTCCTCCAGCTCCTCCTCCTCCTCCTCCTCCTCCTCCTCCTCCTCCTCCTCCTCCTCCTCCTCGGGTCGCCCACGGCCCCAGGAGAAGCCGTGCAGCACGACGGCTGCATGGCAGGTTCGCGCCGCGTTGACGTGGCGGCGGCCCCAGCGCGGGCGCCCCGGGTTTCAGAGGCAGCGGTCGGCGCCGAGCCCGGGGGGGAAGCGAGAAGGAGAAGGCCTTCTCAGAAGACTGCGAAGTCCCCCCGGCCTTCTGAGAAGTACTCTGAGCCTTCCCCGAATGATTACACGGAAGACTCTCCAGGATGCGCGAGGGCGTCTCGTACTGGTTTCCGAACGCGTCATATGATAAGAGACGCGGAGCCCCAGACAAGAAGGGTTCCAGGCCATTCAGACATTCCTCAGGATTGAGGGTTGGGGCTTAGAGGGTAGCGGAAAAATGGACCCGGGCACGTTCTCTCTGTGCTCAGAGGCCTTACGGCTGGTCAGAAGGAGAAGGAGAGAGGGGGGGAGTCCGTAGCCACTTTGGCTCAAGCCAGTCTGCCTCGAGCGGCACGCGACCAGGACTCTCTGTCCGGCCGCCGCTGCAAACGACTCCCGCGCCGGGGATGGCGCTCAACGCACCGGCGCGCCAGGGCGGGGGCACCCACATCGACGAAGAGGCCGCCCAGCCGCTCGCCAGCCGCCAGGTCGTGACCTTCGAGATCGAGCCCGGGCCCCCCCCGTCGCCTCGACGCGCTGGGCGACTGCCTCGCGGTGGCGCTCTTCTCCGGGCTGATCGGGCCGCCCTCCCTTCAGGTTCTCGCACGCGATGCGTTCTCTGCCATCAACTGCTACACCGACGACCAGCTCCAATCCTTCTACGAGAAGTAGTTGGAATACCTGGACAGGGCGCAGGTGAAGTGGGTGCGCTGCGGCTACCTGCGGCGGCTGGCCTCAGCCGGTGACATCATGCAGCGTTGCCAGGAGGTACCGCTCGACCAGGTGTTCATCGGCAGCAGAGGATTTCCATTTGTACGTGATGGTGAGAAGAAGAGGTTTGTCCTTTCGCACCCGTGGTTGTCAAAGGAGCACCCCGATCCCACTGGCGTCAAGTTGAGGCTGCTCGTGCAGCAGCTGGACATGCTGCAAGCCTCCGACGATCACGCCGTGTTCGTGGACTACATGAGTCTCCCCCAGAACGACAAGCTGAACCCGGAGCTGCAGCGCATCGAGGCCGCGTCGGGGATGCCCAAGCCTGGCTCGCATCCGTCCGTGCGCACAGTTGCGGAGGAGGCCCAGTTCAAGGAGGCGCTCTCCGCCATGGAGCAGATCTATAGCATTGGCAAGACGCCCGTCATTGTTCTGCCCATGGATGGCGACGTGGACGCGGGCAGGGAGTACATTTCCAGATGCTGGTGTCTTCTGGAATTCTGTCTCTCCATGGGCTTCGACAACATCTCGAATGCCGCGATCCACGAGCCTGTGGGGCGCCTGAGGGAGCATGTGGAGTCCATGAACGGACACACGGTTCAGGGCTTCCGCGAAGCGTTTAAATTGACGCATTTCACGAACAAAGGCGATGCCAACGTCGTTCTCAAGCTTTTCGAGAACACGTTGAATCTGGCATCTCGCCACTGAGGGAGCGTTCGCCGCCGAAGTGTAGGGGGGGGGGGGGGCTCAGGGAGGGCGCATCGACCTGAACCAACTTGGGGCCCTATTGGGGACCTCTTGGGACGCTTCAGGGCCGTCTTGGAGGCCATCTTGCGAGTCTTGGAGGCCTCTTAGGCCGTCTTTGGGCCATCTTGGGGCCGTCTTGGGGACGTCTTGGGTCGTCCTGGGACCATCTTGGAGGCCTCGTGGGCGCTCCTGGGGCGATCTTGATGACCTCTTGGACCGTCTTGGGCCGTCGGAGGACCGAAAAGCAGCAGATCCCCAAATCTTTCAAACACCGAAAGACAATGATGCCTTTTGGTGACCTCTCTTGGCACGTTTTGGCGGCCTCCTTGGGGCCTCTGGGGCCGTCTTGGGCCTTCTTGAGGCCATCTTGGGCAATCCTGACTGCATATTGGGCCGTTCCTGGAAACATCTTTAATCACCACTTGGTTTTCTTGGGGCCATCTTGGCCGTCTTGGAGGCCATCTTGGGCGTCTTGGAAGCCTCTTAGGCCGTCTTTGGGCCGTCTTGGGGGCTTCTTGGGCCGTCCTGGGGCCACATCGGAGGCCTCTTGGGCGCTCTTGGATCGGCTTGGGCCGTTGGAAGCCGCTCCAAAGTATTTGAACACCTAGGGAAGACCACAGATTTTGATTTCTTCGGGCCCTCCTGGAGGACCTCTTGGAGGCCTGTTGGAGGCCTTTTGGGGGCCTCTTGGGCCATCTTGGGTCATCTTGAGGCCATCTTAGGCCGTTTTGGATGCATCTTGGGTCGTCTTGGAGGCATCTTGGAGCCATCTTAGCCGTCTTGGAGGCTATCTTGGCCGTGTTGGAAACCTCTTGGGGCCCTCTTCGGGCCGTCTTGGAGGCCTCTTGGGCCGTCATGGGGCGCTCTTGGAGGCCTCTTGGGCGATCTTGGGGCGATCTTGGGGGCCTCTTGGGCCGTCTTCAGCCGTCGGACTTCGAAAAAGACGCAAATGTCAAACTCCTTCGAAAACAAATAGACAATCAATGATTTTGGCCTTTTCGGGCCCTCGTGGAGGAGCTCTTGGAGCGTCTGGGAGGCCTCTTGGGGGCCTCTTGGGCCGTCTTAGGCCATCTTGAGGCTATCATAGGCCGTCTTGGGTGCATCTTGGGATCTTGGGCCGTCTTGGAGGCATATTGGACCCATCTTAGCCGTCTTGGAAGCCATCTTGTGCCATCCTGGGGCCGTCTGGGGCAGGAAAACCGTTTGCAACTGGGTCTTCTGGGTGGCTGGCGGGACGCGCGGGGGCCCCAGGGGGAGTTCTTCCTGAAAAGAACCAAAACTAAAACCGAAATCATCTAGTACGCCACGCACCCTTAAGATGATTCAACAGGGGGCGGCGGATTTTCGGCGCCCATTTGGTTTTCGGCGCCGTCTTGGTTTTTTCGGCGCTTCTTTTGGTTTTCGGCGCCCCTTTGTGTGTTCGGTGCCCTTGTGGTTTTCGGCTTCTCTTTGGTGTTCGGCCCCTCTTTGGTTTTCTGCGCCACGTTTGGCTTTCGGCGCTCTTTGGGTTTCGGCGCCCTTTTGGTTTTCGGCGCCCTCCTGGTGTTCGCCTCTGTGGTTTTCGGCGCCTCGCTGGCATCCTCGCCATGTGTGTTTTCGGCGCCCTTTGGGTGTTCGGCGCCCCTTCGGTTTTCGGCGCTCCTTTGTTTCCCGGCGTTATTTTAGTTTTCGGCACCATTTTGATTTTCGCAGCCCTTTGGCTTTCGGCGCCCCTGTGGTTCTCAGCGCACCTTTGATTTTCGGCGCCCCTTTGGGTTTCGGCGCGCTCCTTGGTTTTCGGAGACCTATCGGTTTTGTACGTTTTGGGGGTTTCTGACGCCTCTCTGGTGTTCAGCATTTTCTTCGTTTTCGGCGCCCTCCTGGTTTTCGGCGCCCCTTTCGTTTTCGGTGCCCTTATGGTTTTTGGCACCCTGATGGTTCTCGACGCCTCTTTGGTTTCCGGTGCCCCTTTGGTTTTCGGCGCCCTGTTGGTTTTGGGTACCTTTTGGTTGTCGGTGCTTCTTCGGTTTTCGGCGCCCCTTTAGTGTTCGGCGCCATTTTGGGTGTTGTCCCTTTGGTTGTCGGTGCCCCTAGGGTTTTCGTCGCATCGTTGGTTTTCGGCTTGCTTTTGCTTGGTGGCGCCCCTTTGGTTTTTGGCGCCCTTTTTGTTTTCGGTGCTCTTTGGTTTTCGGCGCCCCTTTGGTGTCCGGTGTAGGAATTTAGTGTTTGGCGCCCCTTTGGAGCCCTTTTAGTTTTCAGCGCTCCTTTCGGTTTTCGGCGCCCTTTTGGTTATCGTCGCATCTTCGGTCTTCGGTGCCCCATTGGTTTTCTGCACCTTTTTGGTGTTCGGCGCCCCTTTGGTTTTCGGTACCCTTGTGGTTGTCGGCGCCCCTTTGGTCTTCGGCAATCCATTGGTTTCGTCGCCCCTTTGGTGTTCGGTGCCACTCTGGTTGTCGGATGGTTTTCGGCGCCCTATTGGTCTTCGGCGCCCCTTTGGTTTTTTGGCGCCTTTGTTGTGTTCGGGATGCATTGTTTTTCGGCGCACTTTTCTTTTCGACGCTCTTTTGGTTTTGGCGCCCTTTTTGTTTTCGGCGCCGCTCTGGTTTTCGGCGCTCTTTTGATTTGTTGCGTTCCTTGATTTTCTACGCCCCCGGTTGGTTCTCGGCATCCTTTTGGTATTCGGCGTCTTTTTGGTTCTCGGCGCTCTTTTGTTTTCTTCGTTCGCTTGGTTTTCAGCGTTTTTTTTCGTTTTTCGGCGCACTTTTTGCTATCGGCGCCCTTTGATGTTCGGCGCCCCTTCGGTTCGGTGGCACTTCGGTTTTCGGCGCTCTGTTTCTTTTCGGCGCATTTTGATCGTCGCCCTTTCTTTAACCAAAAGGGGGGATCTTCCAAGCCCCCCGATGTAGCCAAAAAGGGATGGAGAGGGGGGGCTTTCGGCAGGGGGGGTCGTCCAAAGGGAGGGAGGAAGAGGTGGCTAAGCCCCTCTCACCCTCCCATCTGAAAGGGGGTGAAGGCTTGTTCCCAGAGCGTGAAGGGGGGGAGGGGCTTGGTCGCAGGGCTGCACAAAGGGGGGGAGCGGGGGGGGCGGCCTTCGGCCAAAGGGGGGGCGCTAATCCCCCCTTTTAGAAAGCAGGGGACGGGAGAGGGGGGTAGCTTCCGAAGCGCGAGGGTGGGGGGGGGGGGGGCGTCTCCGAGGGACGGGAAATTATCCTGGCGAAGGACCCAACCATGCGCAGATGTGAATACCGCAATTCTGAATATCATCTTTGCCCGCGCTCCCTATGGGGCCACGAACCGTGCGAGGGGCGCGCCGAGATGCGTGGCGGGGCACGCGACGCGAGCGAAAACGATAGGTCTGCGTGCGAGAGACTGAGCGCGAGTGAGTCTGATTGTGAATGAGTCTGCGTGCGAATCAGTCCACGCGCATAAGCGTCGACGCCCATGTCGGCGCGCTCCTCCCGAGGATCGCGCCCGCTTCCTTCCCGTTTTTTTTTTTTTTTTTTTTTTTTTTTTTTTTTTTTTTTTTTTTTTTTTTTTTTTTCTCTCTCTCTCTCTCTCTCTCTTTGCCCGTGCGCGCCCATGTCCGAGGCTGCGGGCGCGGCGCCACACGGGGCCCCCGCGACGCACGCCGGATGCCCCGAAGGGGTCCCGGCGACGCGCGCGGGTCGTCCGCTGTGCGGAGCAAAAAGAGCTGGCTGGCTGATAGCGGGCAAGGCTGTGGCCGCCGGGCAGAGAGACGACGGGGGCGAGCGAGGTTCTGGGCAGAGCGCAGCGCGGAATTCCCGCGACGCGCGCTGGTCGCCCCGAGAGGACCCCAGCGACGCGCGCGGGTTGCCCGCGGCGCGAAGCCAAACAGTCAGACCGTCGAAAGACGGCGAGGCTCGGGCGGGTCGCTTTTCAAGCCAAGCCTCGCGGATAAACTCGCTGAAGCCCCGCTCCCTGGCGAGGGCCGTCGCCTCCCTCATGCGCCGCTTCGTGCGCGTAGCAAACTGCTCCAGCTGCTTCGCAATCCCTCCGGCGGCCCTGCCGGGAAGAAATCGATGCGCCGTCGCCTCCCTCATGCGCTGCTTCGTGCGCGTAGCAAACTGCTCCAGCTGCTTCGCAATCCCTCCGGCGGCCCTGCCGGGAAGAAATCGATGCGCGGCGCCCGCGTGAGCAGGAGGTCCTCGTGGCGCGTGACGCGCGAGAGCAGCGCGTAGAACTCCAGCCGCCAGTCGTCGTCCTCCTTCCTGCCGTTCCCCACCTCGGGGCGGCCGCAGTCCAGGATCACGCCTGGGTTACGTCGGCCGATGGGGGCAGCGCGCTGGACAGCCGACGGCCCAGGGCGAGAGTCCACGAGACGGAGAGAGCGTTTCCAAAACGTGTCAGGGGCCATGAAACGTGTGAGGGGTGTGCCAAAATAGGGCGGCGCCGCCATGCGGGCAGCACACGGCCGGGGCCTTCAGGTGGAGCTCCCTATGTGGCCACATCAAGTGTGAGGGGTGTGCCTGAATGGGGCGGCGCCGCCATGCGGGCTGCGCCACTGGGACCCTGGATGGGGCTCCCCATGGGGCCACGAAGCGTGCGAGGGGTGTGCCAAAATGGGGCAGCGCCGCCATGCGGGCTGCGCCACTGGGACCTTCGGCGGAGCTCCCTATGGGGCCAGGAAGCGCGTGAGGGTTGTGCCAAAATGGATAGGCGCCGCCATGCGGGCTGCGCCACTGGGACCTAAGATGGAGCCCCCATATGGGGCCATGAAACTTGTGAGGGGTGTGCCAAAATGGGGCGGCGCCGCCATGCGGGCTGCGCCAGTGGGACCCTGGATGGGGCTCCCAATGGGGCCACGAAGCGTGCGAGGGGTGCCAAAATGGGGCAGCGACGCCATGCGGGCTGCGCCAGTGGGACCTTCCCTATGGGGCCATGAAACGTGTGAGGGGTGTACCAAAATGGAGCGGCGCCGCCATGCGGGCTGCGCTATTGGGATTTCAGGTGGAACACCATATGGGGCCACGAAGCGTGTGAGGGGTGTGCCGAAACAGAGACACGCGGAGACCAAAGGCAAGGAAATGGAGGAGGGAGGATGAGGAGGAGGAGGGGGAGAAAGAGGAGGAGGAGGAGGAGGAGGAGGAGGAAGAGGACGAGGACGAGGAGGAGGAGGAGGAGGAGGAGGAAGAGGAGAGGAGGAAGGAGACGCGGGGCACCGTCCTTCAAAACGAGGACCCAACACCACAGGATGGTTGGGAAACAAGGGGGAGGGGGGGCGGCTTCGGGCAGCGGAGGTTCACAGGGGGAGGGGGGAGCTAAGGGGGGTCCCTTCCTTGTTCGGTCGTTGCGTGGGCGCTCTCTCTCGTGTGTGGTGTGTACGTTCACACACACATATTGACGTGCATCCATACATACATACATACGTACGAACGCACATACACATTTACATACATGCATTCGTGCATGTATGCAGGCATACATAAACATAAATACATGCAAACCTACATACATACATAAACGCCTACATACATACATACATACACACATAACATACATACATACATACATACATACATACATGCGTGCATGCATGCATGCATACATGCACGCACGCATGAATGCATACACATATACATATACGTGTATATATATATATGAATGCACACATTCATCAACCAATCGGTGCATACATACATAGACACTGTTTCATACAGTTAGACACGTACATAAACACATACATGCATACATAAACACATACATATGTGTTGACACACACATACATACATGCAAACATGCAGACATACCGCCATACATACATGCATACACACATACATACACGCTGTTTTGGCTCGCGGGTCGAGAGCGCACCTCTTCTGGTCGAAGCTCAGCGGGTCGTGCACAGCTTGAATTAACAAAGAGGTGGGGCAGAAGAAGGGGCCTCACGTCAAGGCCATGATGGGGCAACGCCCCGGCATCAGGTGGTGCCGAAACATACATACACCATACAAACATACATACAGACATGTCATACGCACAGACCTTCTTACACACATAAATACGTGCATACATACATACGTACATATAATTATGCATACATACATACACACAGACATTCATACATACAGACATACATACATACACATACACATACACATACACATACACATACACCTACGCATACACATACACATACACATACACGTACACATGCACATGCACATGCACATGCACATACACATACACATACACATACACATACACATACACATACACATACATACATACATACATACATACATACATACACACATACGTGCAAACATACAATCAACCACACAAATGGGCACACATACGTCTAGACACGTCGTCCAGAGAGGGAGAGAGAGAGAGAGAGTGCGAGAGGGAGCGAGAGACACAGAGAGAGAGAGAGATAACCAAACAGAGATATTATCCGTGCAACGCAACCTAACAGCGATGTGTATAAGCATATCTGGAAGCATTTCCCTTACGATTCAGGTGAGAATCCAGTTGTAGAATTCTACTGTTCTCGCAGTCGCGGCCCAGCCTGCCTCGGCTTGCCTCGGCCTCAGCCTCAGCCTGCCTCGGCCTCAGCCTCGGCCTCAGCCTCAGCCTCAGCCTGCCTCAGCCTCAGCCTCAGCCTGCCTCAGCCTCAGCCTGCATCAGCCTCAGCCTCAGCCTGCCTCAGCCGCAGCTTGCCTCAGCCACAGCCACAGCCTCAGCCTCAGCTTCAGCATCAGCCTGCCTCAGCTTCAGCCTCAGCCTCAGCCTGCCTCGCCTTGCCTCGGCCTCAGCCTCAGCCTGCCTCGGCCTCAGCCTCAGCTTCAGCCTGCCTCATTTTCTGCCTCAGCCTGCCTCAGCCTCAGCCTGCATCAGCCTCAGCCTCAGCCTGCCTCAGCCTCAGCTTGCCTCAGCCTCAGCCACAGCCTCAGCCTCAGCCTCAGCTTGCCACAGCTTCAGCCTCAGCCTCAGCCTGCCTCGGCTTGCCTCAGCCTCAGCCTCAGCCTGCCTCAGCCTCAGCCTCAGCCTCAGTCTGCCTCAGCATCAGCGTAAGCCTCTCAGCCTCAGCCTGCATCAGCCTCAGCCTCAGCCTGCCTCAGCCTCAGCCTCAGCCTCAGCCGCAGCTTGCCTCAGCCTTAGCCACAGTCTCAGCCTTAGCCTCAGCCTGCCTCAGCTTTAGCCTCAGCCTCAGCCTGCCTCGGCTTGCCTCGCCTCAGCCAACCTCGGCCTCAGCCTCAGCCTCAGCCTGCCTCAGCCTCAGCCTCAGCCTCAGCCTGCAGCCTGCCTCAGCCTCAGCCTGCCTCAGCCTCAGCCTCAGCCTGCACAGCCACAGCCTCAGCCTCAGCCTGCCTCAGCCTCAGCGTCAGCCTGCCTCGGCTTGCCTCGGCTTCAGCCTCAGCCTGCCTCGGCCTCAGCCTCAGCCTCAGCCTCAGCCTGCCTCAGCCTCAGCCTCAGCCTGCCTCAGCCTCAGCCTGCATCAGCCTCAGCCTCAGCCTGCCTCAGCCGCAGCTTGCCTCAGCCTCAGCCACAGCCTCAGCCTCAGCCTCAGCCTGCCTCAGCTTCAGCCTCAGCCTCAGCCTGCCTCGGCTTGTCTCAGCCTCAGCCTCAGCCTCCCCCAGCCTCAGCCTCAGCCTCAGCCTGCCTCAGCCTCAGCGTCAGCCTCTCAGCCTCAGCCTGCATCAGCCTCAGCCTCAGCCTGCCTCAGCCTCAGCCTGCATCAGCCTCAGCCTCAGCCTGCCTCAGCCGCAGCTTGCCTCAGCCTCAGCCACAGCCTCAGCCTCAGCCTCAGCCTGCCTCAGCTTCAGCCTCAGCCTCAGCCTGCCTCGGCTTGTCTCAGCCTCAGCCTCAGCCTCCCCCAGCCTCAGCCTCAGCCTCAGCCTGCCTCAGCCTCAGCGTCAGCCTCTCAGCCTCAGCCTGCATCAGCCTCAGCCTCAGCCTCAGCCTGCCTCATGTTCAGTCTCAGCCTGCCTCAGCCTCAGCCTCACAGTTGGCTCCGGGTAGTCAAAATGTGGCCTGGGAATTGTGTTCTGGGAACACGAAGAACACGAAGTGGCCTACAGTTGGCTCCGGGCAATCAAAATGTGGCCTGGGAATGGTGTTCTAGGAACACGAAGCACACGAAGTGGCCTACAGTTGGCTCCGGGCATTCAAAATGTGGCCTGGGAATGGTGTTCTAGGAATGGATTCCTAAGGATTCCTAAGAACTCCTGAAGATTCCTAAGGATTCCTGGGGCTGCCGGTTATGTCCGGTTTTGTCCGGATCCCGCTCAGACCCCCTTGGGGCGTCAAGATGCTCTCTTTGACCCCACTAGAAACATATCAGTCTTCGCTGTTAGGTAATATTGATAACATTACACATGCGTCCACAAGTAATCAGCATCGCATCGGATCTTGCCCGAGGCTCTAGCAGGCCCTTGGCCCGTTGGGCTTCCGACTTCTTGCTGTTCATCCGCCACCGTGCCTCCAACACGCCGTTGAGTGCCCCCCTCGCCACGACAGCGGTTTCGGGAGGCCCTTCCCGCCAGGACCCTCTCCGGGCCGCGCCCTGGGCACGGGGACCCTTGTCGATGGCCCGGATGCAGCCCAGGATGGCCGATGATCCCATCGAGGCCCCACACTGCTGCAAGATGGCCTGAGGGGGCTGCCCTGGGAGCCTCGTGTGCCATCCTGGAGTCCCTGGGGGCATCTTTGGAGCAGGTGAGGTTTCTGTTCGACTTTCGCGTCGTCGCCGAATGGATCGGAAGAGCGGTTCAAGAGAGAAACGGCCCAATAGGTTTCCCAATATCGTTCCAAGATGACCCTCAAGTCCAAAGAAGGGCTGATGAGAGGGAACCCATTTTGGGAGCTCCTCTCCAAGATGGCATCTGGAACCACCTCAACACTCCAGGTGCCTGAGGCGAATCCGCCAGCGCGCCAGCGAGTCACTGTGGGGCCACCCTTCGAGCACCCCCATACGGCCTCACATGTGTCCCTTCCCTTCTCGACCTTGAGGAGCTACCATGCGGCATATTTTGGTTGCCTCGGGGCCGTACTGACACTTGTGGGGCCGTGTCGCAGGTCCCGCGCTGCCCTCCTGGGCCGTCCTGGGGCCCTCTCACCGTGGTCGGGCTGTCTTGAGGCCGGCTTGGGTCGTGCATTCGCCTTGGGTCCATCCAGAGGCCTCGTTGGGCCAGCCGGTGGCTCTTTAGGGGCCGTCCTGAGCCGTTTGGGGGCCACCGTGGGGCTCTCAGCAGGTTTTTGTCCGGCTCTCGAAGGCTTCACTCGCTTGCACCGATCTTTGACCGAAGCGCGTGGATCGCGAAAAACGTACAGAAACACTGGATTCGACATCCAGCCATCCTGTATTGAGTTGAACGAGTTGTGTCCTCCTCATTGTGAAGGTTTTGCGGCCTGTGCCGCCGACCCTGAAGGCGGGACCTCCCCGGCACCCCCGCTGGCGCTCCCCCGGGACCCGCTTGGACGCCAGGGAGGCGGCATTCTGACCTGGGATCACCCTACCCCTGGAGGTAGGAACGGGGTGTGGTGTAAAGGGGTGTGGTGCCAATGCTGGATATGGCGAGGTTATCTATCGTAGATAGCATCGCCACTTCCACGATTGGCACCACACCCCTTGATGCCACACCCCTTTCCAACCTCCAGACCCCCCATCACAAACGGGACCTCCTCACGGGGACCCTCCTCAAGGACCCCCCCGAGGAGGCCCCCCCGTCCTTCCGGGGCTGGGGAGGGTAGGGAGGGCCGCCAGGACCCCGGGCCCCTCCCAGTACCCCCTGGCATCCCTTTCCCTTCGTCAGGGGGGAGAAAGGGAGGGAATCGACTTAACTAATACGACGTTTCTTTTTCTCTGTTGGTTTCTAGATTTCTTCGGGACTTGCGACGACGAAGACGACGAAGACGACGACAGCGTCTCACGCACCCCGAGGGGTTGGCGAATTTGACTCCGCAGCGCCCCGTCGTCTCCTCCTCCTCCCGCCTCCCCCTGCTCTTCTTCCCCTCCTCTGCTTGTGCTCGCCCTCCGCATGTCCATCTCTGGAAGCCCCTCACACGCTTCGTGGCAGGGGGCCCCACCGAAGGCCCCGATGGCGCCGGTCGCATGCCGCCGTCCGTCTCATCTCTGGCCGAACGAAAGGGGGGCTCTGGGAAAGGGGGGGTTACGAAATATGCTGCGTGCAGCTGGTTTCGGCCCCGCCTGCGGGCCCATTCCTCGATATACATAGCCGTCTCTGGCGCAGGGAGGCGCCGGGAAAATCAGCTACGCGAGTTGATTCTCATACCCCCCTTTGCTATCCCCCCCTTTCGCCCAGCCCGATCATCCCAGCCCAGCACCACCCATCACATTTTTTGACCAGCAAGAGGGGAACCTTGTCGCAGGGTGCAGAGAGACGACACGACATGACGACGAGAACGACGGATGACAGAAGAACGACGGGCGCGGGGCGGGGGCGGAGGAGGCGGGGATGGAAGCTGCTGGGCCGTGGCGGAGAATTCTTGTGGGTCGTAGCGAACGCATTGCCGTTGTCGGCCGAGAGAGTCGCGCAGCTGGATGCCCTCGACGCCGCGGCCGGCCGGGCCGCCAGGAAGGCAGGACACACCAGGCCCCTCACAGACGGACCTGTGAAGCAGGCGCCTGCCGTGTGAACGAATCTCGGTCCTCTCCTTGCCCCCACTTGCGCACGACTTATTCCTCTGATGAATTCAGGCACTGAATGCTTGTTTTGTGCCCTCTGTCGAGTCTCCGCCAGCAAAAATGATGGAAGCTGCAGCGGTCGCATACCCCCCCACCCATCAATGTCGGTACACCCATTCCACGTTGCGAGGCCCCATGGGGAACACCACCGAAGGCCTCAGAACGCGCACTGCCTATGACGAGAGGGCCGCGCCTTGCGCTACCCGCAGATGGAGATGGTTGGGTCCTTCGCCAGGCCAATTCCCAATTATGCTGTGCTTTGGGGTCCTCTTCCCATCCTCCCCCTCCCCCGAGACACCTCCTTCCTGTGCCCTGCACATGCTCATGTTGGCACACCCCTCACACGGGTCGTGGCCCCATCGGGAGCTCGAGGTAAGGCCCAAATGGCAGGGTCCGCATGGCGGCGCTACTTTAATTAATCGTCCGCTGATTCCGCCGGCCCTGGAGCGCTATTTGGGGCATCTTGGGGCCGTCAGGAGGGCTTCTTGGGGGTCTTCTTGGGAGCGTCTTGGGGCTCCTTGGCGGCGTATTGGGCTCCCCTGGGGCCTCTTGGGGGGCTCTTGGGGGCCCCTTGGGGCGGGGGGGGGGTAGTCGTTGGCAGCCCCCCCTCGGAGGCCACGATCCTCGTGAGGGGTGGCGAAAAATAGCATCCCCCCTCGGGATCGCCCGGGGGTCAGCCGGGGATCGGCCGGGGTACTTTTTGCCGGGGGCCCCCCAGGGGCCGCCCCGCGCGCGCGAACTAGAAATATTGTTAAGTAGTTACCGGAGATCTTAGCACGCCTCTGGCCCGTTGGGCCGGCGAATTTTGGCACACCCTCTCACACGTTTCGCGGCCACATAGGGAGCTCCAAAAGAGGCCCAAATGGCAGGGTCCGCATGGCGGTGCTGCTCTATTTTGGCACACCCCTCACACGTTCCGTGGTCACACAGGGAGCTCCAATGAAGGCCCAAATGGCAGGGTCCGCATTGTGGCGCCGCCTCATTTCGGCGCCCCTCACACGGATCGTGGACCCATCGGGCGACGGCAGGGTCAGTACGGCGGCTCGTTTCGGCACACCTTTGGCACGTTTCGTGGCCTTATCAGGAGATCAAACTGTGGCCCAGATGCAGGGTCCGCATGGCGGCGTCGCGTCATTTCGGCACACCCCTCACACGCTTGTTGTTAAGTCGGGCCCGTCCCTCGACAGGAGGAATAATCAAATGTAGTCCAAAAATAGTCCAGGGACTATTTTTCAAGCATTTTTTGTGCTATTTTGGAATACTGTTTGAGTATATCTTATTTTTCGTCAAAATTCCCCCTGTAGGGGGACAGGCCCGACCTAAGCTTAGTGGCCCCATGGGAGCTCTAACGAAGGCCCGAATGCCAGGGCCCGCATGGAGGCACCGCTCACGACTCGCTGCCCCAGGCCACGCCGTGCCTTGCTCGCAACTGCAGGGGGTTGGGCTTTGCGCCAGGCTAGCTGTTTTAGCTCGCACAGGGGCCTCGTGGAGAGCCTTCTGGGGTGCCTCTCGGGGTGCATTGGGGCCCTCATTGGGGCTACTCCTACAGGGCGCGTCTGGAGACAAAACTGGGCCGTATTGGTAGCGTTGGCCTGGGAGAGCGCCAGGGAGGCATCGGGCCGCCGGAAACTTTCCGGAAGGGTGGGGGGGTGGCATGCGAAAGTGCGCGTCTAAAGGGGCGAGAGCCTTAGAAGGCTCACGCCTCAACGTGCCAGGGGGCGCGGTAGCCGACTCATCTCAATGTCGCGAACTTTCAGGTTCCGTTCATTGACAGGTTCTCGATGGCTGCCTTCACTCGGGGAAGGTATACAACACCACGACCCCCATACGTGGCGTTTACAAGACGGCCTTGCTCGATTGCCAAACTGTTCAGTCCTGTTCGATTCCATTTTAAAGATGCATTGACGAAAGGGCCTCGTTTTGTAGGGGTGGCCACTGCGAAGGTGGCATCTAGGCCCTCTACTGGCACGGCACCGGTTCCTTGCCGGTTAGCGCTGCGAGCCAGGCAGGTGTATCAATGAACGCGCACGTGTGTCTCAGGAGGGGGAAAAGCACAGACACAATGAATCGGCGATCCCCAGGAAAGTATGGGAAAATATGTGAGGTGGGGGGGAAGACGAAAACCCAGAAGATGCGTGAAAATAGGGGGAATCCTGGGATTCGTGTCTATTTGCTTGTGTACCCTTGGGCCCCCTTGGTGTCCTCCGTCTGCCGTCCTCCGATCTCGGCTCCCACGTTCTCGCTCCGCCTTCCAGGCCGCCGACATGGGGACCCCATGGGGCCGGAGGCCCGCGCGGCGCCGCCGAGGCGCCGGCGGTGCGTCGAGATCCGGAGCGCAGTTTCTCCATCCCTCCCCCTCCTCCTCCTCCCCCTCCCCTCCTCCCCCTCCCTCTCCTCCTCCTCCTCCCTCCCTCCCTCCCTCCCTCCCTCCCTCCTTCCCTCCCTGCCTCCGTCCCTCCCTCCCTCCCTCCATTGCTCCCTCCCTCCTCCCTCCTCCCCCCAGTTGCGGATGTATTGCAGGGAGGGGTTCCAAAATTCTTCGAGACGACAAACTTCCCAGACCCACCCCCCAGACCAGCCACGAAGGGGCGGCCTCTGGTCTGGGCCCCCGGGGCCTCCCAGACAGCTCCAAGCAGACCCCCCCGACCGCTCCCCTTTCATAGTAAAAACTGGAGTGTGCGGCCCGACATTCCGACCCAGCCTTCCCTGGGCAGAATTCTGAAGGTCTCAAGTCCTCGTTCCTCCTTCTTTCCTCTTTCCTCCTCGGCCGCCAGGTTCTCCGCAACAGCTACCTGTCCCAGCTGCTCGCGGGGGCGAAGTCGTGGGAGGTGGCCAGGGAGATCGAGAAGGCCTTGTTTTTTGGGGGCCAGGCGCAGGGGAGGAGGAGGAGGAGGAGGAGGAGGAGGAGGAGGAGGAAGAGGAGGAGGAGGGGGATCAGAGGGATAATACAGTTGAGGAGGAGCAGGAGAAGGATGAGGAGAGCCCTGGAGGTCTGCCTAGGCGTCCCGACGCCCAAAGCGAAGAGCCGGAGACGTCACACGAACCTCGGCCCGAGGGGGGAGAGGAGGGGGCCCCGGGGGCTTTCCTGTCCTCCATGCCGTGTTGTCGTTCCTCTCTTCCTCTCTTCTCTTTTTTTGTTTTGTTCTCTCTCTCTCTCTCTCCCTCTCTCTCCCTCTCTTTTATGATTATTTCTCTCTCCTTTTCTCTCTCTCTCTCTCTCTCTCTCTCATCTACGTATCCTCCCATCTCCGCGCTGGGAACCAGAGTTCTTTCCCGCTCTCCTGCGTTGCCCGGCCCTCGCGTCGAATCCACAGGGCCGCGCGCCCCCATCTGGGAGGTTCACCCGCTGCCCGCGGGGAAAAATTCTGGGTGACGTCGCTGCGCTCACGCGGGCGCGCTCCTGACGCGGACCGCGGACCCCCCAACAGGCTCCCCCCGTGGCCCCAGTGTTCTGTCGGGCGTGTCCCCTTCAGGATGATTTTCGACGAGAAATGAAAAATACTCTTAAACATACCCCACAAAGGTCGACACATACTCAAAAGATAGTCCCCAGACTATTTTTGGACTATCTTTGGGGTATTTTTTTTACTTTCGTCGAAAGACCGCCCGTAGGGGGACAGGCCCGACTTAACCCCAGTGGGAAAGTCCGCACGGCGGCACCGCGCCCATGTCCGCGCACCAATCACGAGCATCGTGACCCCTACGGAGCTCCACCTGCGGCCTCAGTTCGGGAGGGAGCGAAACACCCAGACACAATGAATCGTCGATTCCCCAGAAACTGTGGAAAAATATATGGGAAGTGTGGGGGGAGGCAAAAGCCCAGAATGTATGGGCGAATATGGGGAATCCTGTTATTTGTGTGTATTTCTTTGTGTGTCCCAGGGCCCATTCATCGGTGGAGAAGTCTGCTTGGTCCATGGCGGCACGCCTTTCTCGAGGAACGTGGCCCATGCAGGAGCTCCACCTACGGCCCACTGAGAGCGTCAAGGGCGTTCACAGACGTCCTCCCCGCCGCCCTTTTTTGGCGCAAGCATTACGCGCTCCGTGCCCCCAACAGGAGCTCCAACAAGGCCCCAGCGACGGCGTTCACATGCGTCCCCCTCGCCATACTGGCGCACTCGTGTCGCGCTTCGTGCCCTGATACGGAGCTAGCTTAGCATACGGCCGCATTGAGGGTGTTTACATACGCCCCCCCCGCCTATCTGTGCATTCTGACACGCTTCATGTCACAAAAGGGAGTCCCACCTGATGCCCCAGCGAGGGCGTTCACAAGGGTCCCCAGGCCCAATTTGCGGTGCACCCGTCTCACGCTCCGGGCCCCCCTCCAGAGGGAGCTCTACCTACCGCCCCATCATTTTGGGTTATCGGTGGACGTGGAGTCGGGGGGAGGGGGCGAAGGCAAGGGTAATCGAAACGAGAATGGGCTTCCAGCACTTCTGCGTGTCTCAGCACCGTGGCATTCCCAACAGAGGTCCTGTGAACGTATATGGGCCGTTTCCGGGAATGCTATGGGACATCGTGCCGATGGACGTGGGCCAGTTGTGCCTTGCTTGTAATGACGTTCGGGGGAGTTGTGTTGTTGTGTGCAAAATTGTGATTCACATGCGAGCAATGAGTTACCAACAGGTTCGGATAAATTCGGACCTCTACTAGGGGGACGCATCCACTGCCATCAGTGGCTAGGTTCGCATACAGGCTTGTGTATCAGCCCACTAATGAGCTTGCGGACTAGCTAGCTTCTGTCAGTGCCAGCGCGGGAACAGCCAGACCATCATTTTCAAGCAGACAAGATTAATTCCGAGAGCAACCTATGCCTCAGTAGTGAAATTTGCAGTTCCCTCGTCTTCCCAGGGGTAATCTATCCTGTCCGCTTGATCCTTCCGAGGTTTTACGCTCGCCTCATTACCGTTGCAGGGGTGCTTCCACGAACGACGAACGGATGCTTCCACCATGCGTGACCGAATCTCACCTTCTACTTGGACCCTCTACCGTCAGCGATGCGCATGTCGTCATCGACGGCCATGAATTATTCAAGACGCTCTGCGTTCACCGCCCGCCTATTCCAGTTCTCGTCAGTGGGGGCGGCGACGGCTCGTGGTCTCTTGCCGTCCATTCCTCCTGCATCCCATTGCCGCTTATACTCAGTGATGCCGCGTGGCTTGTCGATGGTCAAGTTGTCATTTGGTCGTCGGCCCGTCACTGGTAGGAACTTCGTCAAGGATTGCGCCGGTCGCCAGACTTGGGCCCAGGAGGAGGAGGAGGAGGAGGAGGAGAAGGAGACTGGCGCAGTCGCCTCGCTGTTTAAGCCAGGAGGGCGCGTCTATTGATCTTGGGCCCACGAGCATGTCGATGATCCTCAGGACGCTTGTTAGCCCAAGATGGTGATTACCCCGCTGAGCTTCACCGACAGCACGCAGGCTTGTTCGGTCCGCGCGGAGCCCCCTGTGTCGTACTGCACGACTTCGGTGGGCAAGCACACGGTGGCCCTGGCACACGTCCTGAGGACCATCGAGTGGGCCTGGCCAGGGTCGGTGCTGGGCACGCGAGCGTGGGTTTGTGGGGCGCGTGCGTGGGGTTGGGCGGCGTCGAGCGCGGAGGCGGCGTTGGCCCCCGGCGGCGAGCTGCCTCGCCAGAGCGTCTGGAGCGTTTGCACAGAGGGACGGGCAGTGAGGACAGCACCGCCCGCCCCCGCCCCCACAGCCAGGACCCCCAGATCCAGGGGGTCCTGCCTGGGGGGGTGTCTTTTGCTTCTGGGAACACCAAAATACCATCCCCACTCCCAGCCAAGTCCCCCCTGGGTCACCAGGTCGGGAGTGGGGGTCCTGGGTGGGGGTGGGGGATGGGCTGTGCTGTCCTGAGGTAAGGTAATAATCCCAGCTGGCCCCAGAAAGCAGGAGGGAGAAGGGGAAGCAGGACGACGAAGTTCCCTGCTGCTTTTGGAAGGTACTCATTTGGTGGCCTTCATCTTTTCGGAGGCGTCCACGAGTGGGCGTAAGGTTCTCCTGGCCGTGCCTGATTATCATGACCTGGGCCGTGGAATCATCAAGGGTCAATGGCCTTTTCTCTTTTCTTCTTACAGCACCTCCTCCGGCGGCCACTCGTCCGCGCACATGCCTCGGGCCATGGCGTCCGCTCTCCCATCTCTTCCCGGCTTTCCGGTTCGGCGCACGCTAACCGTGCAAGTTGTGGGCCAGAAGCTTTGTGGGTGTTTGTTAAGGTGTCTATCAGGGCGTGGCCAGAGCGCGCGTTGTCAACAGTGGAGTTAGTAGCGGCATGGGTATCACTATGTTTCCCAATCTCGCTTCCGCGGCTCGGAAATGCAATCCTGAAGCATTGATGACCAGGTCTGCGCGACACTTCGCGGGGCATTTGCAAGCAGAGCCGCTGCCAGCAATGGGACGTCGTCGAGAGGCAGGATCAAGTCTCGTATTTCGCCGCCATGCACGGCCCCAAGGACGCGTGGCATGTAGCAGCGCGGAAAATGAATGTTTGACGCTTGGCGCATCCCGACCAGATGGCCCATTCATAAACGATGTCCAGGTGCTTTGCTGTTTCTCGCACACGTCTACGTCTGTGTATATACAGCTGTCATTATACATATGCACATTGGAGAACAAACATACCACGAATCTTGAATTGAGTGCCGTGAGGACTCTTTGAGTTGGGGCTATATTGGAGATTTCGTTGGGCTGTCATGGCAGGATTGGGAGCCACTTCGGGCCACTCTTGGGCCCCATTCCCTTCCCGATTCCAGGACCAATGCTGGTTTCCAGATGCACGATTTTGAAATCCGTTCTGGGTGCCTTTACTGGATGATTGCCGCCAGGACTGTTAATTCAATGTCTATCCTCACGTGTGTAACATATGTATTTGAATGGCCTCTGGCCAGTGATGCTACTGCTGATGCTGATGATGCTGATGATGCTGATGATGATGGTGATGATGGTGATGATGATGATGATGATGATAATCATGATGACGATGTTCAGGAGGAGGATGCGGAGGAGGACGAGGAGCAGGACGAGTAGTAATAATAGTAGTAGTAGTAGTAGTAGTCGTAGTAGTAGTAGTAGTAGTAAGCGTAGTCGTAGTAGTAGTGGTGGTGGTAGTAGTAGTAATAGTAGTGGTGGTAGTGGTAGTAGTAGTAGTAGTAGTAGTAGTAGTAACATTAGTAGTAGAAGAAGTAGTAGTAGTATTAGTAGTAGTATTAGTAGTAGTAGTAGTCGTCGGCGTCGTCGTAGTCGTCGTAGTCGTCGTAGTAGTAGTAGTCGTAGTAGTAGTAGTAGTAGTGGTAGTAATCGTAGTAGTAGTAGTAGTACTGGTAGTAGTAGTAGTAGTCGTCGTCGTAGTAGTAGTCGTAGTAGTAGTCGTAGTAGTAGTCGTAATAGTCGTAGTCGTAGTAGTAGTAGTAGTAGTAGTAGTAGTAGTAGTATTAGTGGTAGTAGTAGTAGTAGTAGTAGTAGTAGTGGTAGTACTTGTAGTAGTAGTGGCGGTGGTAGTGGTAGTAGTAGCCGTAGTAGTCGTCGTAGTAGTAGTAGTAGTAGTAGTAGTAGCAGTAGTAGTAGTAGGAGTAGGAGTAGGAGTAGTAGTAGTCGTAGTCGTAGTCGTAGTCGTAGTCGTAGTCGTAGTAGTCGTCGTAGTCGTAGTCGTAGTCGTAGTCGTAGTCGTGGTCGTAGTAGCAGTAGTAGTCGTAGTAGTAGTCGTAGTAGTAGTCGTAGTAGTAGTAGTAGTCGTAGTAGTAGCAGTAGTAGTCGTAGTCGTAGTAGTACTAGTAGTAGTAGTAGTAGTAGCAGCAGTAGTAGTAGTAGTAGTAGAAGCAGTAGTAGTAGTAGTAGTAGTAGTCGTAGTAGTAGTAGTAGTATTAGTAGTAGTAGTAGTAGTAGTAGTAGTAATAGTACTAGTACTCGTACTAGTACGAGTACGAGTACGAGTACGAGTACGAGTACGAGTACGAGTAGTAGTAGTAGTAGTAGTAGTTAGTAGTAGTAGTAGTAGTAGTAGTAGTAGTAGTAGTAGTAGTAGAGGAGGAGGAGGAGGAGGAGGAGGTAGGAGGAAAAGGAGGAGGAGGAGGAGGAGGAGGAGGAGGGGGAGGAGCAGGAGGAAAAGGAGGAAGAGGAGGAGGAGGGATCCGTTGTCATTTTGGCTCAAGCTGGAGGCGCACACTTTCTCGGTATGGTCCACCTCTGAGCGGGCAGCCTCTCTTGAAGAGGCATACTTGTGCAAGCGCAAGCGGTCTTTTCTTTCTCTCGCCGTGCCTTGCTGTACTAAATGTGGTTGCCGCAAGAACCCTGCTTGGCATCGGTTTTGCAAGCACTGTGGTGAAGTTTTCCCGCGCGTGCGTCCCGCCCAGCCTCGCCCGCCAGGTGGAGACTGGGCCCGCCCTCAGCACGGCAACTGTGGTTCATGGAAGCAGTATTCTAAGAAGCAATGGGCAAAGAGGTGCGCGTTGCAGCCGTCGGTTCAAACGTTGTCTGAGGATGAGGTGCGGCCTTTGGTGGATATGTCTGGTGAACACTTCCAAGCTGCTTCTCGTTGCATGGCTTCTTCTCAGCGCAAGGAGTTTCTCAAGCTTCGTGCTGTGCGGGTTGGCGATCCAGCTGTTGTGTCCCGGGCTGCCCCGCAACAGCACACGGAGGTCAAGCCCAATTGTATTGGCATACAGGCGAAGCTTGCAAAGCTTCAGATATTGTTGGATGAGCAACTCCAGCGCGCCGTTGGGTTCAAGTCGGGGTGCCAGAAGTTGGAGATGCAAGGGCAGCATCTACCGACGCCCTGGCAGCCTGCGCGCGTGGAACATTCATCCCACGCTTAGGCCAGCCACTTCGGGTGAACAGTTGCGGGCGCGGCAGGCCGAGTGGGAAAAATGGTGGCAAGCATCGCATCATCATCCAGCTCTCGAATGGCCTCCAGAGCTCGGGGAGCCACCTCCGCCTCCCACGGCTGACTACTTGAAGAGGGTTCTCAGGTCCTGCAAAACCATTACGGGGGCGGGGTTTGATCAGTGTTCTCTCGCCTGTTTCTTCTTCTTCCCGATGAAGCATTGGCTATACTGTGTGATATGTTAAGTGCAGTTGAGAGATCTTGAGTGGCCTGCTGCATGGACAAGCATTGCATGTATCTTGAAATTTCTTGGGGGTGCACGGCCTCTTGGGCTTCTGCATGTGATATGTCGTGTGCAATGTAGGCTTCGGAGGCCCCTTGTGCAGCAAAGGCGGCGCCAATGTTTCAGACTTTTCGGTGGTCTGTCAAGGGGGGTATTCAGAGAGGCGCGCTTGGATATCCAGTGCGTGGTCAGAGTATTCCACGGTTAGAGGCATGTCCACGGCAACCATTTTGCTCAATCTAAATGAGGCGTTTGAGTCTGTTGCGCCATCGCCTCTTGGGCCAGGTCGCCATCGAGAGTGGCTCCCCACTATGGGTGCTCAAACGCTTGCTTTCCATGTATTGTATGCCCGGAGCCATGGATATGCAAGGCATTGTCAGTGATGTGATTTCTGTTGAGCAGATTATCGTGCCATGGTGTCATTTTGTTGCTGTCATGCTCCACGAATTGCTCTTGGGGCCTTTGCGACAAGTGCACGTTGCTTATCGTCGTGTCATGCCGTCTGTCCGTGTGAATGATTTTGCGTTGCGGCGACATGGGGCTGCATCGCGTGTTCTGCATGATCTAGATAAGGGCGTCAATGCTATTACTGCGGCTGCCCGCCAACATTGACGCGCAGCTCGCCGTTGGCACGGGGCGCGTTGTTTCTAACTGTATCAGGCTGCGTCTGTCTCTGGGCCGTTCTCGGCAGCCTGTTCGGGTGCTAGATGTGGCGTCATAGCGCAAACTTGGCGTTGACGATGCTGCAGGGCGAGTTCGAGGCAGGCCAGCTGTTCAGGGGCGTCTTCGTCACGTCATAGCTCGGCGCAGGCGCGTGTCCTGCTTGAAATCGGGCAGGCCTCGCAGTAAGCTGTTTGGTGGCATTGCGCGTGCTGCGCTGGGGGGTGCGCTCAGCGATGGCACTGCGGTGCTAGGCCTACAACGGCGAGCTGGGTCAGCTGCGTTCTCTGGCTTGTAAGTTGCAAGGTCATCGCCCTGGTGGTTGGTCTCGTACGTTGGCGCTGATGATTGGTCCCGCTGCTGATCTTGATTTGATTGTTCGCGTTACGTGGCTTCCCGCCTTATTTCTGCTGCAGTGTTGGTGGGGGGAATGCTTGCCGCATCGCTCTATCTTGTGCTGCCATATTGGTTGCAGGTCCTTATATGCTGGGGATGGCGACGCCGCGGAAGTCCATCGCGTGTTTTTTCGCTGCTGCATGGGCCACGCTGTCTCGTGTTGTAGTACGTGTCGTATCTATGCAGTCATGGGGGGGGCCTGGCAGCCCCATCCTGGACCCCGCTGCTGCGTGCATCAGCACTGCCAAGCGCGCCCTCCATTCTCTGTGTGTCCGCTGGCAGTCAACGCAAGTTGCTGATCCCCTGAGTCTGCCTGGGTTCGGTAGGGAGGTTTTATGCTTCAGCCAATTTCGAAATTTCTAAATTCTGGAGCGCCTGCCCAGCAACGTGCGTATGTTCGCTCGTGTTTCATCGGGGGCCAATGGCCGATGCATCGTCAATGGGCCCCTGGGCATGATGTTGAACCCTTCTGTAGAGCGTGCTTGCAACAGCGAGAAGCCCAAGTCAGTGCCACGCTGCTGCACAGGCATGCTGATTGTGCATGCTGCGAGGTTCTTACACTGGAAGCGAGCCACCCTCGTTTCAGTCTTGCCGCGGCCGCTGTTCGCCCGCCGCTTGCCTTACTTCTTCCTGAGCGATGTCTCGCGCCCATGCCTGAGCTCCAGAAGCCCGATGCGTCGGCGGTGCCTCGTGTTTTTTGGTGCATTGGGGCGCCTGGGGATCTTGCTGGGGGGCAGTTTCATCGATGGATCCATGTTCGAAGGAGACATGCGTGAGTTTGCTGCTGCGGGGTGGGCGGTGGTGGCTCGGTCGCCGTGGGCGTGAGATCGTCGTTCGTCTCGAACTCCAAGAGCCGCCATCTGCGGCCCTTTGCTCACAGTGCTTCCGTCCATCAATGAGTCCGAGTGATCTGCTCATGCTTTCGCGCCCAGGCATTCCATGCTTGGGTCTGTCGTTTATAATGGTAGTGGCAACTTTTGGAGAGGAGTGGTCATCAGAGGGCAGCAAGATTGCTGTCACTGCCTGGTCTCCAGCGCTCTGCTTCGGCATGGAGTCTGGCGGATCCTTCGGGGCAGGGGGCGCGAAGATTTGGCGCGCATTGTCGTCAAGATATAGGCGCATCCTCGAACCCCGGGGATTTGTAGCTGGCGCGCACTACCCCGCGTCGCAACGCGGATAATGTCTTAGCCGATGCGCTTGCGCGCTGGTCCGCTCAGTCGGGGAGGTTGCCTGAGACCCAGCGCGACCTTCTGTGTCGCCGTCTCCGCGTTCCCAAAGCGCGGGCTAGGTGGATT